AAACAGTACTATATAACATTTTAGACACATTCTAGACCAGGGGTGTCAAACTCCAGTCCTCGAGGGCCACTATCCTGTATGTTTTAGAGGTTTTCCAGCTCCAACACACCTGATTCAGTGATTGAATTAACTCTTCAAATTGGGCAGAAGCCTGTTAATCACCAGCGATCAAAATCAGGTGTGTTGGAGCAAGAAAACCTCTAAAACATGCAGGATAGRGGCCCTCGAGGACAGGAGTTTGACACCCCTGTTCTAGACAGTTTATCAGCTAAAAAAAGTTAATTTTGGGGTAAGTTACTCTTTAAAGTGTAACTCTGTCTCTTCTTGTTTCATTCCCTCCACAGATCGTGGACTCGTTGTTGATCGGACGCTATGTGCTCCTGGCTGTGGTCAGTGTCGTGTTCCTGGTGGCTTTCTTCATGCTGCTCCCCTTTCATTTCCTGGAACCGGTCCGTGCCAAGGCCTTAAGAACTTACTGATCTGTTGGGACCCCCACACCCCAACCCGGCCCGGCCCCGGTGCACAGACCTTATCTCTTTGTTCCAGATTGTTCCTGAAGCTGGTCTGTATGAAGGGTTCTGGCTGGTGTGGTCCAGAGGTMGTCAGTTTGAGTCCAGCTTCATGAAGCACATGGAAAACGGCCCTGTTGGCCTGGACCCTGAACCTTCCATGGACTCCAAGCTTTGAGCTGCTGTGAGAGCGAATGGATGGATGAATAACTGAGTGGTCAGTTCATTAATAAAAATACTTCATTTTAACACATTTCTCTTCAGTTTTCTTTCTAATCTTACCGAGCAGTAACACTCTAGTTTTTAAATGAGTCGTGTTGAATCAGGTTCTGTCTTCAGGTATTTAAAGGTTCTGATTGTCTAAAATGAACCTATTCTTCAGGGTGGATCAGAGGTTTGCACTGGAAAACTAAACGTTATCATTTACCCAGAATGCTTTGCTGCGTTAATAAAATGGCGCTGTCCATCTAACGACATGTATCACATCTAAACAGCCTGCAGTGTTTTTACAGTCTGTTTTAGTTGAAGTAAATGTTTAATGTTCAATGTTAATCATGGATCCCTTAAAAGGCTGATGGTGGGCTAATTGACCCCCCCCCCCACACACACACACACACACACACACACACACACACACACACACACCCACACACACACACACACACATACACACACATTTTTTTAAAGTGTGAAGCGAGAGGAGACGTGGAGCAGAATTCCAACCAGGATGATGAAAGAGAATCTAATGAATCAAAACCAATCCTATTAGTTCCAGCCCACATCTCCAAACTGTGCTGCCTTTTCCCACAACAATCTAGTTTCACACACCAAAACCCGAAAGGCTCTCAGCTGGGGGGCTCCAGGAATATAAACCAGTGGTTCCCAAACTTTTTTATCTTCTGACCCACAAAATATCCACGGCAAAAACTTGTGACCCCAAATATTAC